CTTCTTCTTCTTCTTCTTCTTCTTCTTCTTCTTCTTCTTCTTCTTCTCCTTCTCCTTCTCCTTCTCCTTCTCCTTCTCCTTCTCCTTCTCCTTCTCCTTCTCCTTCTCCTTCTCCTTCTCCTTTTCTCCTTCTCTTTCTCCTTCTTCTTCTTCTTACTTTTAGCTTTTGGGAACTTTGTTTTCCTCCCACCTTTTTTCCCTTTGCTCAGGTGTCTGCAGAGCAGCTCAGGACTATTCAGTGGTGGCTCCAACCCACTCGGTGGCCCGTGCCGTGGGAGCTGCTGACCAGTCAGTCCTCAGTGGCTGTCTGCATACTTCAGTCCTCCGTGGGGAACTGCTGGATGGGCACAGAGGGTAGCTGCACACCCTCAGACCAATCGGCCACCTCAGGCTGAGCAGCAGTGAACTCAGGAGCTGGTACAGTCCATTCACCCTGGAATTCCTCCTTGGTCACAGCCTTCTCAGCAGCAGCCTGTTCCTCCTTCTCAATCTCCTCTGGGTCTCTATAGAAGTAAAGATCAGGCATAACCTCCCATGGGTGCTCACGGGAGATAGTACCTCGCATGCGGAGTACTTCCCGGGCCAGCATCCACCACATCAGACCCACTGAATGAGTTCCCTTGTTGCACGGGATGGCAATGTCCACATAGCGCAGGGGAGAGTCTGTGTTACACAGAGCAATGGTGGGCAGGTTGACATAAGAGGCCTCTGTGAGGGGCTGGTAGTCAGCCCTGGGATCAGTTACCACTAGAAGTCGTGGCTCCCTGAAGGCTTCGTGGATCTGGTTAGTGAAGGTCCCAGGTGTGAAGCGGCCAGCAATTGGAGTGGCTCCTGTGGCAGCAGCAAACTTGAGCACAGCTCGCTGGCCAGTGTTCCTGGAGGAAATGACGCTGACGTCAGCAGGGTTCTCAATGGCAACAATGGCCCGAGCCGCGAGCAACAGCTTCTCCCAGGTCCTCTTCAGATTTATGATGTAGATACCATCACTTTTCCGTTTGTAGATGTACTGCTCCATCTGAAAGTCAAGGTTGGTGCCACCTGAGTGGGTTCCTGCAGCAAGGAATTTGAGGAAATCCTCCTCCTTCATCTGCAGGACATCAAGAGCTCCGGACATTGTGTAAGTTTCCCTTTTAAGTTACGATGGGAACCAAGAACAAGCCATATGGACCCATCCCCAGGTAGCGCGGAAAGTGTTAGTTGCTTCTCTTGTTAAAGCAGTTGCAACAAGAAAGCCTGAGAAGGTGTCAATAAGCACAAGTACATATTTTAATTTTCCAAAATCAGAAATATGAGGAACATCCATTTGCCATAATTGATTAGATACAAGTCCTCAAGGATTAACACCATTATGTGGTACAAGAGGAAATCCAGAACAAGTCTTTATGATTTGATGTGCACATTCTCTAGAAATATCAAATTGTTGTCTCAAGCTATTACTATTTTGATAATATAAAGAATGAAATTGTTTTGGCTACGTTTTCCTACGTAAGGCCTATAATCTGCCTGATATACAAATCTGCTCTGGCCTGTCTTGAAAAACCAAATAAAATAAAATAAAATAAAATAAAATAAAATCTGCTCTGGCATTGCCTTCACTAAGAAGTCTGGACAATCCAGTATGAGCTCTTAAATGTCCTATAATGTAAGAAACAGTATGCTCTTTTAAATTGAGTTGTTTTTACATAAATAATTTCAAAATTTGAGAAATAGCAGTATCTAAAAAGGGAAACAGTTTAAAGCAATTGTCAACCAGTCAACCATGAGCTATATGTTGGCTATCAATATACAAATTAAAAGCTTGATTTTTTTCAACACTTCAAAAACAGTGGCTACAGCACATAATTCAATTATCTGTGCTGAAGGGGGGGGTGAGGGAAACTTGAGAGAATGAACATGTGATCCAGTCACATATGCTGCCTTCCCACTAGATGAGCCATCTGTAAACACAGTAAGTGCAATCTCTATGGGCTGCATGCGTAAATTTACAGGAAATACAAAAGCTTGCAGAGAAAATTCTAACAACTTTTCTTTTGGATAAAGGTTATCAATTTTGCCTGAAAAACTTGCACATGCGATAGGCCAAATATCAGTATTCTGCAATAACCACTTTAATTGCTGTTTAGAATAAGGAATAAATATTTCATCAGGTTCTTTCCCAAAATACTTTGATGATACTATCCCACAATTCTGTATTAACATAGCAACAGCTTGGTAGCAGGGTGATAGAACTTTCTTTCTTTCTTTCTTTCTTTCTTTCTTTCTTTCTTTCTTCTTCTTCTTTTTTTTTTGGGTTTTTTTTTTTTTTTTTTGGTTTTTCGAGACTGGGTTTCTCTGTATAGCCCTGGCTGTCCTGGAACTCACTCTGTAGACCAGGCTGATCTCAAACTCAGAAATCTGCCTGCCTCTGCCTCCCAAGTGCTGGGGTTAAAGGTGTGCGCCACCACCGCCTAGCTTTTTTTTTTTTCTATAATATAAACTTCTTATTCAATTTATGACCTGAATTTATGTGTAAACTTGTAGTGAACTTTTTACCATGTGATCATGCACTCTGAAAACTGTTCAAGTCCTGAGAACAAGGAGCAGAGACAGGCCTCCTTTCCCTTTCTGAGACTTCAACTTAAGGTCAAGCAATTCCTGCAGAGATAGAACAAAGGCTACTTTACCTAGCCTCCTGCTGTTTTACTATGAGGTGCTAAACCAGAGACTACAGCTTCTTACCTTAGAGCAACCCAGACAGGCAGATTAACTGCCAGAAGCAAAGTACCTTACAGTTAGGATGGGTAGCAAATGGTTTATGGCCTAGTTTCTGAGTGGAGACACAATGGGATAAAAAAGGACCCTTCAATTAGACAACATTATAGTATGACCCTACCAAATGCTGAGGCAGGTTTAATTTTTTCCAGTTTGCTTTGTTATATCATTCTGTGTACATGCAAAGACTGTGGCCAGTTCTAAGGCATAAACAAATTAGCCAAAGAACAAACAAGGCATAAACAAGATCCCATAGTATTCAGGGACTTGTGAAAATGGTCAAGATCTTGAGCTTACTTCCTTGTCCAAGCCCAATATCAAATATTCTTGCCAGTTTCCTAGAGGTGGGACCAAAATTTCTCCACACTGGACTTTCCATTCCAGTCAGGGCCCTGAGGGAGAAGAACAGGGGGCATGGTGGGGGAGTTGGCTACAAGGCAGGTGAGGCTACTGGAGAAGGTCCATGAGGCAGGTGGAGAAAGAAGTCAATTACCATAAGAAGTTGGCCGGGGAGTTCTCCATGAGGACAGACAGCTGCAGAGAGTGACATGAAATTCAAGTGACTCAGGTGGGAGAGGGAACTGTTGTTTGACTGGGAAGAAGCTAGATAGCATAGAGGGTTAGAAATATCTGCTCAGTTATTGTGTTTATTGCTTGTTGAATCAAACAATAGGTCTCCTCTCAGTAATTTGGGAGGTTAGAAAAAACCACCACCTTTAAATTTCATTCTATAAATTACAGAAGTTGATATTCTGGAATGTTAGCCACCATGCTGTGGAACACATAACCAGGCCTGTGGGGAGGAGAGGAACTGAGGCCCCAGCCCTCAGCTAACTCCCACATTTCACACATTTGAGAGGATAAGATCACCTACCAAGTCTCTAAATAACTGCAGCCCACCCTTGAACTTCAGGACAAATGTACCACAGCCACCAGGCTTAGCCATCCTGGAACTCAGGAACTGTGTCGGGTAATGGCGGACTAAGAGTCATTTTCAGTTGAGGGAAGCTCTCTGAGAAAGCATTAGCCATGGTGGGAGGAGAAAAAGAAAGTCAATGATAAAAATAAATGTAAAAAAAGGAAAGAAAAAGGAAAGGACATTGTTGTGGGTTATCTTGATGCTGTTTGTATTTTGATGTTAATTCTGATTTTATCAAGAGGGGTTGCCCCTGAGGAGCAGTCAATCGAATACTCAGGTGATCTCATGTGACCCTTCTCCCCATTTTGGTCAATAAACTCTAGAGCGTGTGATTGGGTAGTGGAGGGGAAAGGTGGAACTGGAAGTTCTGGAGAATGGGGGCAGAGGGAGAGGGAGAAGAGGATGAGAGGGGAAGGAGATAAGATGGAGGAGGAGGAAGAGGAGGAAGAGGAAGATGAGGAGGAGGAGGAAGAGGTAGCTATGATGGAGCAGAACCATGTGGTCAGGAGAAACCACAAGTAGCAAAGGGTCTTATAGCTGGGGAATCCGTTAGTATAGTGTTAGATCTGCCCAATCTAGGCTTGTATCATATAATTATAATAACTGGATTGCATGTTTTTCATATAGGCTTACTGGAGTTGGAAATTCTAACAGCAGGACATGCCTGTCCTAGGTGTGGCAGAGAAGAGAGTTTCTTATATTAAAATAAAGAGCATATCCAGAAGCAGTACTGGGAAGGTCCAGAGTGGACAGGACCCTGACTGAGCTGGGGCATGAGGGGAGGGGAAGGGAAAGGAGAGCGAGGAGGGGGGTCCAGGTGCAGCAGTCAAGGGGGCAACGTACAAACGGAACAGGTAAACAAATTGGTTAGATTACATAAAGACAAGCAACCCTGCCCCTCAGCTAGAAAGTTCCATGTAGGGGCCACCAGGTATGCCAGCCAGGAGGGCCCTGTCATAGGTAGGAGCTGAGGGATGCCCAGAGAACCTGGATGTCAGGTCCACTTTGATATCCTAAGCCAAGGATAAGTGCTTGTAGGGTAAGGGGGTACCCTTGAGATTTAATAGGAAGGACCTGAGGCAAAGCTGCCCTGTGGCTGGAGTTTGGGTAGCATGTTTAAGGGGCGGCCGGGAGAGCCACAGCAGAGTGACGTGAATCAGAGAAGAAGTCAGGTTCCAGAGGTCTTGCGGAGCGCAGTGGGAGCATTGTGTATTTTTTCCCCAGTATTCATGTTGCCACACAAGGCCTGCTAGATGCTATGAAAGTGTAGCACACCTCTAGCCCTTAGTTTAATGAGACACTATGGAGCCCTGCCTGGTACTATATAGTACAAGCTGGCCTTGAACTCGATCCTCCTGCCTGAGTCTCAGGAGTGCTGGGATCATAGACATGGCTCATCATGTCCAGCTCAGGACACTCATGATATATTGTTCCTTCCTCTACTATTTGAATTGTTTTTTTCTTTTTGAGACAGGGTGTCATATAGTCCAGCTTTGCCTTTAACTTGCTATGTCAGCTCAGAGAACAACTTTGAATACCCAATCCTCCTGCCTTTACCTTCAGAGTGCTGGGATTGTATAGGCCTGCAGCTCCATGCCTGGCTTATTCTGTGCTGGGGATGGAACCCAGGGCCTGTGAAGCAAGCGCTCTACTAACTGAGCTCCAGCTCTGGCTTGGCTCAAGGACTTGGAATTCAAGTGAGGAAGTACTGAGAGATAGCAAGAGGCCAGCCTTGGAGGGAGAGGTCAAATGGACACCAGACACCCTGAGAACTGAAAACGCCAGAGAACACTTTTCACATTCTTTGGCTAGGGACATGCTCTGGTTTGTGTCTATAAGGAGAGAAGCACCATCGTCTGAATGCTAGCAAGGGTCAGGGCAGAAAAAAACAAAACCTCCTTAAAGAGATGTACCTGTGGCCGGCTGGCAACTAATTAGACCTGAGGCTTGAAGGAGAATGATCTAGGGAACTTAAAAAATGTGTCAGTGCTCTAGTTCACTGTAGAGCAATGCAGGCTGACCTGTGGCAGGCAGGGTGGTGACAAACACAGGGGAACTGTTTGTTTTTCTTTATACACATCCCCCCACCCCCCAAGACAGGGTTTCTCTGTAGCCCTGGCTGTCCTGTTCGAGGCTGGCCTCGAACTCTGAGATTCAACTACCTCTGTCTCCTGAGGGCTGGGATTAAAAGCATTCACCACCACCACCTCTGTTTTTCTTTTCTTTCCTTTTCTCTTCTTTTCTTTTTTTTTGTTTTTGTTTGTTTGTTTGGTTGGTTTTTCAAGATAGGGTTTCTCTATATAGTCCTGGCTGTCCTGGAACTCACTCTGTAGACCAGGCTGGCCTCAAACTCAGAAATCTGCCTGCCTCTGCCTTCCAAGTGCTGGGATTAAAGGCATGTGCCACCACTGCCTGTCCTGTTTTTCAAGTAACAATATATGTAT